ATATCCAGACCCACCATGATTCACCCACGAGCTCACTATCATGTCCTGTCGGTCTGGCCTCCATGCTGGGAGTTGCATCCCAGGAGAGGTGGATGCCAATGTCTAATGCAGGTTTCCCAGCCAGCACAGCACCTGCCCCCCTCCCCCCACGCCTCTCTGGGCCCAGGCCTGGTCCAGCACTGGCCCAGCTCACTCTGGGACCTCAGGAAGTCAGAATCCTTTCTTGGGCTTCACTTTCCTCCTCTGCAAAGCTCGGGTGCTGGGATCAGCCCTTACTGCCCTTTCCCGCTGGAAGCCTTCTAGAGCGCTCAGTGTGAGACCTGGCGTGGGAAGGAGGGAGGAGCCTGGAGAACAGTGCACTTGCCTTCCCCTCTGGTGATAGTGCAAGTTAGTAACTAGAAATCACCTGAGTGTTTCAAAAAATGCTGGTGTCCCGGTGCCCGGTTAAACCAGGACCACTCCTGCCAACCCCGGGTGGGGCACATGCATCACTGTGGTTAAAGCCTTTGTTCTGATGCGTAACCAAGGGCTCTTTTCACTCTCAAGGCACTTGCACACGAAAACGTCCTAGGTGATAGACCACTAGTGTTCTACTGGCCCCTCTTTGCCTCGAAAGCTGGGGCTGAAGGGACTTTGGCCTCCTAGGTGCTGCTGGAAAGCTACAGTTGGCACCTCCTATCGCAGGAACTGGCCTCACTATGAGAAAAGGCTTTAGAAGCTGAGACTCTCGCACCGTGGCCGGAGACGCCTGCTGCCATCAGTGGCAGGGTCCCCAGGACCACTGGCGAGCCCGGACCCCTGGCAGAACCCCTGACAGTGACATCTCTTTCCGGGAGAGAGGCCCCAGGCCCCGGGCTGCCCCAGCTGCTGCAGTGGGGCCTGTGCCCACCAGAGGGCGCAGGCCCGGCGCTGCGCCAGCTGGACGGAAGCTGTGCGGACCAAATGCTTTTTAATTGAAAATTTTTTAATTCAAAAAGGGATTTGCTGTTTTTCGCGAGTGCAAGGGTTTTCTTATGCAGGAGACTAATGTCTTGAGTAAACCAGATCCGGGCCCAAATCCACCTTCAAAGGTACTCGCTGTTGCCCAAGGGAGTGAAAGGGCTTTCCAGAAGCGGCTCCCGTCTCCTGGGTAAACACGGCGGGGAGGAGGCGGGCAGGACCGCGTCTGCGGAAGGCGGCCGCAGCCAGAGGGGATTATGTCGCGGGACATACGTTGAAATTTCATTGGGGGAGTTGGGAAAAACAAAAAGGGGGGTGGGTGGACGCTTTTCTCCAGCCAAGATAAACCTAAAAAAGGAAAAAAATCCCGAGAGAGAGAGGGTGGGGCGCAATCTGTGCGCCCTCGCGGGACCGGCGCGGCGCAGGCCAGGAAGGGGGCGCCTTCTCCGCCCTCCCCAGCCCCGGAGGCCCAGCCATGCCCTCCCCGCGACCCCTGTTCCCACTCCTGGCCACAGAGACTGGACAGCGGCACAGGGCCCCGAGACAGCCCTCTGACCAATCAGCCGTTGCCTCCACAGAGGCGTGGAAGCGTCCTGCTCCCCCTGTCACCATCCAGAAAGCCCCTTCCAGGCCCGGCCTAGGCACTCGGCCTGTGGACACTCGGGTGGGGCTGCAGCCCGCCCTTCACCTGCTCTCTCTGGCAGGGCCAGCCCCAGCATCCCTGCCACCCCAGAAACCCCGGACCAGCAATACGGGCAAGGCTACTGAAGGGCAGAAGGCGCGGCCCGCGGAAGCCTCCCCCAGCCCCTCCACGGCCGCTGCAGACACCCTGCCTGTGGGCCTTTCCTCGCCCTGTCCTGAATGCTTTCACCTCTGCAGGCATCTCCATGGGCATGGGCCTTGGAGCATCCAAGTGGAGGCCGCCTCCAAGCCATGCCCCCCGCCTCCCCCCCCACCCACCCACCCCCTCCCCCGCCAGTCTCCCAGCTCCTCCTGCACCAGCATGTGGTCTCTGGCCCTCTCCCTCCCTGCACATCCAACATCCACACCCATTCCCAGTCCCAGTGATTGGGTCGTAGAATTGTCTAAACCGGTCCCCAGAGCAGCAGCATGGGGTTACCTAGGAGCTATTTGAAAATGCAGATTCTCAGGCCTGGCCCCAGACCTATCCATTCAGACTCTTGCATTTGACTGGACCCCCGGGGACTGGTGTGCGTGTCAGGTTGAAAAGCCTGCTGCATGTTCTCTCCCGAGCCAGGGCTGATGGCCTAACTATCCACGGCCGCAGGCCCTCAGCCCGCTGTCCCCACAGGCAATGGTGTGCCCGTGGCGCTCTTCTCTGCACCTTGGCAACCTGCTGCCTAGGTGCTGTCAATTCTCTTTCGCCAGTCAGGCCCCAAATCTGCTTTCAAGATGTGAATGCCCCCTGCCCCGCGAAGCCCTCCTTGCCTCTCCCAGTGGTCCCCACGCCCGTGCATGTGCCCCCGAAGGTGCCTTCATGCTGGGCTGTGCTGGGCATGCCCGCCCCGTCCTCTGCTACCCTGGGAGCCCAGCGCAGGGCGGGTGTCCTGTGGGGGCTTGATGAAGCCAGCCAGGGAAAAATTCGCCGCTGTTCCCTGCCGTGCATGTGCCTAGGCGCCACCAGGTGGCAGTGTCCTCCCGCGTTTGGCGCCGCCCCCGCTCGCTCAGCCTCCCGGAGCCGGAGCCTCCTGACCGGCGGCCTGTGCCTGGTGGTTGCGAGCAGGAAGTGGAGGGCTGGGGCTGGCATTGCGGGGTCTGTGGAGCAGCCAGACGTTCAGTGATAGCTTGCTCAAGTGCCAGGGTGTGGCGGCCCTGCGCTGCCGTTGCTCATTCCATCCTCCGGGCAGGCCTGGCTGTGGGCGCATCACCCCACCTGAGAGATTGAGTTCACTGAGGGCAGGAGAGGAGAGGAGTCCGCCTGAGTGTCCTGCAGCTCGGGTCCTTCCCTCTGCACCCTGCCAGGCAGCAGATGCTGTGAACAGGGCTCCCTTTGGCTCGGGGGCCACATGTCTGCTCAGCCCACCGTGCACACGGGGCAGGGCCAGCCTCAGCCCCAGCTGAGACCAGGGTCTGTCCATCTGTCCCGGGTCGGCTGGGGACTGTGGAGCAGGGGCAGCCGTGGACATAGTGCTGGGCTTTGGCCGTGGATGTGGCGCTAGTCTGTGGGCATGGCTGCAGTGCTGGGCTACGACTTGCTGGCTGCCACAGCCTCCCCACCCAGTTTTCCACTTTAAGGGAAAAGGGCTCCCATGCCCTTCATGGTTGGATGGCATTTGGGCCCCACTCTGGCCCCTGAAGGCTCAGCGCTGCAGCCCTCCTCACTCATCGGGCCCTCGGGAGGGCTCCTTGCTACAGGCGGCTCGATTTGGGCAGCAGGGAGGGCTGGGCAGGCCCGGAAGGCCACCTGCTGGCGGGCAGGGCGTGGGCCCCCGGGACCTCCCTGGGGCTGGTTGCAGTGCTTGGCGTCCTCCTAGGGCGGTGTTACCCCTACCGTGTTCCTGACAGCCTCCCTTCCTGGACTGCTGTCTACAGGTGTCCCCCCAAGGGGCTGCAACTCATGGTCAGCTCAGCTACAGGGCAGCTCCACTCCTCTGCTCTCTGCAGGGGAGCTCTTCTTATGGCAATTCTACTGCTAAAACTTTTTTAATATTTAAATGCTTGAAACCACTGATCTAATCTAAGTTCCTGCTTCCTAAAATCCATGTGACCACGAGGCTGCCTTGACGTAGGGTTCCAGGCTGTTCCCCACACCCCACGCAGCCCAGCACCTTGCACCTGTGTCCAGCCAGGCAGCTGCCAGCCCATTTCTGTGGCTGGAGTGCCCCCGTGCCTGCTCTGCCCATGTGCCCGCTCTGCCCACATGCCCTGCTTTATGTTGGGCACCAAGACCTCACCTGGCATCTAAGTGAACTACAGGTGCTCCCAGCCCCCTCAGAGGTACTTATCCCTTCTCTAAATTTCCATCAGACTTGGAATCATTTTGGTGAGCCAGGGTCGCTTAGGTAAGCTGGGGTCTCTGGTGTGAGGCTTAACTCTTGTCCTCAAGACAGGGAGCAGCAGGGCTGAGCCGTGGAGGAAGGTCCCCTCCCCAGGCAGCCACTCTGGCCCCGCTGTGGCCTGTCAGGAGTCCTCAGCAGGGGTGCCTCTGAGGACTCCGTAAGGAAGGCATGGGGAGGGTGTGGACGGTGCCAGGGACAGCAGTGGAGGCCCTTCCCATGTCCCTGGGCACCACCTGGCATTGGTTCTTGCTTCAGCGGAGCCAGCATATCACAGGTCCCCGGAGCCTGGCAGCTGAGACCAGCCTTGGCGAGGTTTGGGTTTGAGAATCTGCCCTCACCAGCAGGGGCACAAGAACTGTCCTGCTGGGCAGAAGGCCATGACAGTCAGCACAGGCCTGGCAGGTGGGTGGCACCATGGCTTTGCACACTGCTGGCGCCAGGCCTGGCCTCACAGGGAGCAGGCAGGGACTGTGGAGGATACCAGTCATCGCCACAGGAGCCTGTCACCCCCGCAGGCGTGTCCACACACACACGCCACATGCACAGTTCACTGGCACAGCTCAGGGGCCCAAGAGGGCCAGCAGAGGGCAGGCTCTGGCTGGCACCAGCCTGGCCAGCAGCCCTATGTCAGGATGCCCCATGAGGCAGCCCAGGCCTCTGCCTGCTCTTGATCTGAGGTTGTGGAGGGGTTTCCCTGGTGTCCCATGGACTGACTGTGTCTCTCTGACCCCACCCGCCCCTGCAGTATGAGTACAGCTTCCGCACAGAGCAGAGCGCAGCCGCCAGGCTCCCGCCCAGCCCCACCAGGTGTCAGCAGATCCCGCAGTCCTGAGGAGCCAGCGGCCACCTGCGGGGAGACCACCGCCCAGACTACTGACGGCAGGGGCTGCTGCCCCCGCCTCCTCCTGCCGCCTCCACCAGCCCTCCCTCCCACACTGCCCCAGCAGGGCTGGCCCGGAGACTGGGCAGCTAAGTGGGCGTGTCCTGTCTTCAGCTGGCCTGACACCCCGGCCTCCCTGGGGACGTTGTTCATAACCATGACTAATCTGTGTGTGCTGTAGTGACCAGCGGCTCCTAACGTGTCTGTGTGATGACCAGTTGTCCTCCAAAAACCTCACTCACCACGGAGTCCCCCTGAGGGCCCCGGGCAGTTGCCCCGGCCGCCCAGTGACGCCCACCGGCTCCCTCCGTTCCCTCCTGTCACCTACCAGGGCAGACCCCACTAAGCCGCTGAGTCCCTTCCTGGAAGACCCTGGGGGCCGATAGCTTTACCTAGGACTCTCCAGGGTCGCTGATCCTCCCTGGCCTAGGGCTGCCAGGACCAAGTTCCTCTCTGCAGGATCTCACAGCAGCCCTGAGAAGACGTGGAAGGAAGAAGCCAGTGGCCCCGGCGTGGACCCTGCCCTTTGGACATCCCATGGACTTCTCACCCAGTCGCCTGGAAGTCGGGGAGCAGCAGCCCTGCCCCCGGCGGAGGGGTTGTTGCTTTCTGGGGAGGAGGACGGTTGACGGCCCTGCCTGGATCCACCACCAGGACGCTGTGCTCGGCCACGGCGCGCCTCCCCCAAGGGCTCATCCATGCAACAACCACATGCCAACGATAGCTCCAGGTGCCTCAGTCCATGCCCTGACCCAGGGACCACAGGGACACCCTCTGAGACGTGCTGGCCCTGGGAGGATACAGGCACACGGGCACCTAGCCCCTCTCGGAGCCAGGCATGTCTTGACGGTGTCTGCTAACAGGAACAAGTCATTCTGAAAGGTCCCTCTGACCCAGGTCACCAAATTTGGGCCAGAACTGGCATTTCTCCTGAGTACCCACTGGTGCTGGCGTCCTCACAGTGCTGGGCGCCAAGTTCAGCCCCAGGCGCGTTTGCCTAAGCAGTGCTGGCTGCCATCTCTCAGGGCCCAGGCCCTCACGTGAAGGGCTGCCTCACTCTGTGGTGTCAGGCATTGGACTGTGTCCTGATTCCTCAGAATATGGGGACCTGATATCTTTGGGTCCCCAAGAGTTGGCTCTTGGATGTGGGGGCTTGATGCCGCGGTTGGCGGCTGCAGTATCTGGGTCCAGGGAAGCCACTGCCTCAGCAGGGACAGCCTCTCCCGCTGCAGGCCCTGGGCAGCCCACAGTAGTGCTAGCTGAGGCCCAGAGGAACAGGAGGAAAGGGAGGTAGCGCCGGACAGCGCAGCTGGCCAAGAGGCGGGCGGGGCCAGAAATACCTCATGCACCTGCACCAGCCCCTCCGTCTCCAGGCCCCAGGCCCCTGTGTGGACCCATCTTCCTCCTCTGCCACCCCCGATCTTCACTCGGATACCTCTGATTTCTGTGGATTAGGGAAGTCAGCCACTTCTCCCTCCCTGAGACCCGAGGACGCCCCTGGTGGGGGTGGCCTTCTCAGGCCTCCTGGGTAGCACAGCAGCAGGACCTTGTCATAGGACTGATGCTGAGCGGGGAGGGGGCTGCCCAGGCTGGCCGCCGATGCTCCGTTCACATAAGCCAGTGTGGTTCTGGGGACCTGAGGAGCCCCGTGGCACCCACGGGGGGCACCTATGTCTGCCGTGGCTCCTCGGGTGGTGGCCCGTGTGACCAAAGCCAACAACAGGGTGACTTCCGGCAGGCAGGGGCGGCAGGAGGGCAGAGGGCAGAGCTCTGGCCACTTCTGCCCACTTCATTAGGGTTTGTGAACTTTGTCCTTCGACCTCTTTCGTGCCCTGGTTGTGAGATCGCCTCTGACAGATAATGCCAGGGGCCCTTCACTCCACTCCCGTGACTGGGAAAAGGCCTGTGGCAGCTCTGCCGGACCCTAGGAGGCTCAGAGGCAGTGGTGTGGGAGCCCTGTCTGCAAGGACGCAGAACAAGCAGCGAGGGCGGCTGCAGGAGAGGAAGGGGTCCCACAGCCCCCACTGACACCCCCTGCAGGCCCCTCTCGAGCTGGGGTCCCAGCCAGGTGCCCCCGCATGCCCTCCTGCAGTTGCTGGATGGACAGGACCTCCAGGCCACCAGGAAGAGGACAAACTGCGTGGACTCAGGCGAGCTGGAGCCATCTTCTCCATAGCATTACGGACTTAGCATAAGAGTAAATGACTGTGAACATTGTAGTAAACGGCAGCTTCAGATAAGCAGTGACAGTGTAAGGACAAGTTGGTGTCTGTGGTAGGTTTTAGGCTGCTCCTAACCCACCATTTATTGCCTTCTGAGAGGTGGGTGAGGACAAGCGTGTGCCTGTGTGTGTGTGTGTGTGTGTGTGTGTGAGAGCACGTGTGCGTGTAAGCCCACCTGAATGGGGCTGGTGCGGGAAAACTGAGGCATGGAACTCTGGCTCATACCTAGGAATTGAGAGCTTTTCTGTCTTTTGGGAGAGTTCTTTCTCCACGAGCCCTCTGGCCACTGTGGGAGGAAGGACAAAGTTCCCTTGGAAATGTGAAGAAGGTCTGGCCTCATCCCTCAGGTCCCCCCGCCACAGCACTTCCCACCACTGCTGCTGTCCCTGCCGGCAGCCTCTGTCCCTCCAGAATGGCTAACCAGAGCACACCGTCCCCACCACCTCCCCTTTCTCTCTGGAAAGTTGAAGTGTCTTTCCAGAGGCCTTGGAAATGCACAAAGGTGACAAGGAGCAGGTGCTTTGCTGCGGGCTCCCTTGCAAATGTATACTTAAGGCCTTTCTTCCCACCCCAAGTCCAAGAACAAATGCCAGCCACATCCTCCACCACTTCGAGAGATGAGAACCCAGTGGGGTCGTGTAAAGGAATTGGAGGTCGGTAGGAGGACAAGAGGGACTCCCGTGTTCTAAGCACCTGCTCCCGGCCAGGCTCTAGGCCAGGCTCTCTAAGCACATTTCTCCTTTTATTCCCCCTAAAACCAGAGTGACCTGGAAGTAGATGTTCTTTGCTCCTTGTTAGAGTTGAAGAGGCTGAGGCTTGACCGGCTGCTAAGCGGCAGAGGCGGGGGTCGGCCCCTAGCCCCCGGGCCAGCCATCCCGTCGCAAGCCTGTGCTGGGGATGCTCTTTCTGTTTCCAGTCCTGTCACGGACTTCCCAGCCGCCACTGGGCCCTGCCGTCACCAGGCCACTGTGCAGTGGGTGCTGAGCACAGTCAGGAGTGGCCTACCCGCACTCCTCCACCAAGATGAGGGCCCTCCAGAGCCTACAGGTGTCTGTGGGGAATCCCAGCCTGCAGCTTCTCGGAGAACTGGGTGGGCCTGAGGATGAAGGCAAAGGAGGGCCTTGAGGAAGCAGCCTCCGGGCCTGGCAGCCACACGGCGGCTGAGCTCATGAACTCGGTTCGCGGCCTGCCTTGTCCCCAGAGGCCCACGCCAGGCACTCACCCCTGAGCCCACAGCCTCTGCTTGGGCTGCCTGGCACCCTCAGGGTGGCCCGCTCTCCTCCTGCCACTCTGAGCACATACCCGGGGGTTGCCACCAGTGACGGCTTTGTTTTCCCCAGCCAAGGCCATGGAGCTGCTGTGTGACTGTGTCAGGCCTGGACAAGGCCCTTAGGGATGACGTCCCCGCTGCATATTTATTCAAGGTGACTCTTGTACTCGGCAAGGGAAGTCCACTGTGTGATTGTCTGTATTCTTAATATAATTTGTTAAATAAACGTTTGTTTAACCTCTTTCCCCAGTTTGCTGTCGTGGTGTCTGAAGCCAGCAGAGGTCAGTGTCCTTCAGGGCAATCCCCCAGCTCTCTCTCCCCTAGCAGGGCTCTTGTCACCACCTGGCCTGTCAGCCTTCTAGAAAGGACTGGTGGGCTTCTTTGCCCCTCGTTTAGTTGAGACCACCTGGTTACAATCAGTGGGATTCTGGGGGATGCAGAAAGTCCCTCTGTTCTCTGGTGGCAGCCCTCGGGTGCTCCTGGAAGGAGAAAGCTCCAGCTGCTGTGAAGACAGGAGCGGCTCCCGCAAGGTGGCCCCGGCGGGGAGGGCCGGAGTGCTTGGTGCCTTTCACCTCCTACTCGCCTGGGGCCCTTGTCTGGGGACACACAGCACATCGGAGTCTGGGTGGTTTCAATCCTGTCCCGCCTGCTCACCTGCTTGTGAGAGGCCACTCCAGACACCTGCTAAGGAGGCGGCGGTGCCCAGGGACAGGCGCCACGCTCCTTGTGAGGAGCCAACAGCTCAGGTTCCACCATCAAAGCTCTTTGCCTCCTCTTAGCATGCTCTGTGCGTCTGGGCCAGACACCGGTCTGCCTGCAGCCCGTTCACACCAGACTCGGGCAGGAAGGAGCTGGAGCACGGCCACCTTAGCTCAGCGCTCATCTCAGGGGCACCAGCCCTGCCTCCTCCGCATCCCAGACCCCCGCTCTGGGATGTCTCAGGCCTCTGTCCCACAGTAGGAGAGGAAAAGCAGCCCAGAAGATCAAATAGGAAAGCTGCGGTGCAGACAGAACAGCCGATGCTGGGTTCCAGCTCAGGCCTCGCCACTTCCTGACCATGTGGCCTTCAACGGGTCACCTGCGCCCTGTATCTGTCCAAAGGGACACAGTTCCCCGCCTCAATGGCTTGCCCTGGGAAGATGGAATGAGGATGCAGGCAGGGCATTTAGCATACACGTGCCAGGTCTTTCTGGGGGGCCTTGATTCTATGTTATTGTCCACAGAATGTATAGAGTCTCTCCTCTATGCTGGGTCTGGAGACACCAAGGAAGTACAAGTGGTGGTCTTTGGTATCGAGGACAAGGCTTCAAGCACTACTTGGAAAGGCAAACAGAGCAATGCCCAGGGCCCCGGGGCTGCAAGGAGCTGAAATCTGCTACACTGGCCTAAGCCAAGGCGGTAGCGACCAGCCCAGGAGGAGGCCCATGGCACCTAAGGCAGGTGCAGCCCAGCCTCGGAGGGCCAGCCCGGCAGCCCCTGTTCCTCCCCTGTGCTTCCCACGGGCCTCATGCACCTGAGCCCACGTCTCCCCCTGCGCCTCCAGCTGCTGGTTCCCAGCCTGACCACCATCTCAAGCCCCTAATGCTCCGGGGCTTGCTTTTCCCATCTGCGTCCCCCCGCAGTTCCCTGCAGCCTTTCTCTGTGCTTAGCTCTGTCGCTGGTCAGTCACTCCAAGCTCCAGCCACATAGTTCCAGCAGCCACCTGGAGGTATCTATTGTGGAGGTCCCATACTCACCTTGAGCTCAGCACATGCCAAGCTGAACGAACCATCCTATCTCAAGTCCTAAACAGCTCCTCCTCCTCCAACCCTCCCATCTTTGGGATAGCTCCACCATCTCCCCATAGAGTTACCCATGCCCCTACCTGGAGCCCTTTGGGATCACTCCATTTGCAGCTGGACAGTTCTGTCATCTAACTGTTTTCAAACCCAGCCACTATATTCTCTTGTTGCTGCTGTGGTGTTAGTTCTGGCCTCAAGTCCTCTCATTTGGATGGCAGCATTAGCCCCTAGCCACACCTGCCTCCCACATTGCCCTGTCATTCATCCCCCACACAGCCCAGATCCACCCAGCAGGACTCCTCCACTTACCCTGCCCTCTTTACCCTAGGAATGAAGGCTGAGTCCCCACGAGTCCATGCCCCTCCCTCCTGGGTCTGGCTCACTTCCCACTGATGCCCCTGCTGAATTATTTGCAGTTCCCCAAACCCTTACCTCTCATATGCTTCCCGGCCTTTGCACATACTATTCCCTCTGCCTAGAATGCTTTTCCCCCATTTTTCTACCTGGAAAACTCCTATTCATCCTTCAAGACCCTGTTCCTGCACCTCCTCTGTGATGTCCATCCTGATGTCTCGGAGGCAAAGGTATTTTCCCATTCAAGCTGCCTGTGCCTTGCACACGGGACCACATGTCGCTGCATTGCAGCCACCTGTATCTCTCATTAGATTATGTGCTCCTGGAGGAAGGGGTCCATGTCTCTGTCTCATTTCTCTTTTTTTCTTTTCTTTTTTTTTTTTTTTTTTTTGGAGTCTCATTCTGTCGCCCAGGCTGGAGTACAGTGGCGCAATCTTGGCTCACTGCAACCTCCGCCTCCCAGGTTCAACCGATTCTCCTGCCTCAGCCTCCCGAGTAGCTGGGACTATAGGCACCTGCCACCACACCCGGCTAATTTTTGTATTTTTAGTAGAGATGGGGTTTCACCATATTGGCCAGGCTGGCCTCGAACTCCTGACCTGGTGATCCACCTGCCTTGGGCTCCCAAAGTGCTGGGATTATAGG